AAGTGTGCAAGGTGGTGCAGGACGTGCTCAAGGAGGTGGAGGTGCAGGAGCCGCGCTTCATCTCGTCGCTGACCGAGTGCAACGGCCGCTACGAGGGCCTGGACGTGGTGTCGCCGGGCGAGTTCGAAGTGGTGCTCTACCTCAACCAGATGGGCGTGTTCAACTTCGTGGACGACGGCTCGCTGCCGGGCTGCGCCGTGCTCAAGCTGAGCGACGGCCGCAAGCGCTCCATGTCGCTGTGGGTGGAGTTCATCACGGCGTCGGGCTACCTGTCCGCGCGCAAGATCCGCTCGCGCTTCCAGACGCTCGTGGCGCAGGCGTGCGACAAGTGCGCGTACCGCGACTCCGTCAAGATGATCGCGGACACCACCGAGGTGAAGCTGCGCATCCGCGAGCGCTACGTCGTGCAGATCACGCCGGCCTTCAAGTGCTCGGGCGTGTGGCCGCGCTCCGCCGCGCACTGGCCGCTGCCGCACATCCCGTGGCCGCACCCGAACCTCGTGGCCGAGGTGAAGACCGAGGGCTTCGACCTGCTGTCCAAGGAGAGCGTCACGCTCCAGGGCAAGCAGTCCGCCATGGAGGGCGACGCGTGGGTGCTGTCCTTCACCGAGGCCGAGAACCGCCTGCTGCTGGGCGGCTGCCGGCGCCGCTGCCTCAGCATCCTCAAGACGCTGCGCGACCGCCACCTCGACTTGCCGGGCAACCCGGTCACGTCCTACCACATGAAGACGCTGCTGCTGTTCGAGTGCGAGAAGCACCCGCGCGAGATGGAGTGGGACGAGGCGTGCCTGGGCGACCGCATCAACGGCATCCTGCTGCAGCTCATCTCGTGCCTGCAGTGCCGCCGCTGCCCGCACTACTTCCTGCCCAACCTCGACCTCTTCAAGGGCAAGTCGCCCTCGGCCCTGGAGAACGCCGCCAAGCAGGTGTGGCGCCTCACCCGCGAGCTGCTCACCAACACGCGCTCCCTCGAGAAGCTGTGAGCGGCCCGCGCCCCGCCCCCGACCGCGGCGAACTCCCGCTCTCCAAACGTCGTTATTTGCTCTCAAAAGACTGCAACAAACACATGTTGCTTCCCATACTACGAGGCGTCATAGATGTCGTCGTTACGCACCAATCGTTCATAAAAATTGCATTTTAAATGAGCGCTTATGAGCATCTCACTTCCTCATCCGGAAGCGGAAACAATTGAATATTAATATTGCAAGCCACAAGAAAGCTTGAGGACTACCGATCTTGTAGGCTGTAAACGACAACCTTAACGATGTTTTTACTTTGAAAGTCGAAAGGTCTCGTGATGTGTTCCAAAAGAACTCATTAATTAAAATATACTCTACTCGTAGTTATTCTAATACTACAACTGAAGCGTAACGTTTTCCATAAATATTAATTATATAATGTACGGTCTGTAAATTTCGTGACTGTAACGTAAGCTCCATATTACAATAAAATTTGTAAGTATTTACCCGCCTTCCCCAAATTCTCGTCTAATCGCAATGTTTTTAGCCTATCTATTCCTTGAAATAATAATTTAAGCGCTATAAAAAAATGTAGCACATACTCATTGCAAAAAAATGGTGTTTCCTTCGGCGAATGATCGCAAGTTTTTGTATATATTTATTACGCTGTTGGTGCTAATAAAAGTCGAAGTGACATCGAAGCTCGACACCCGCCCGCCCCTCGACCAGCGGCCATATCGAGTGCGCGGCAGCATCGAGCAAGTCGAACGCCAAACAAACTGTGAACTCCAAGTTCCACAAAGCTGCAAAGAATATGGTTGTAGAGTGCATGAGTGTACCCGGATGCTATGCATCTTTCACTGAAGTTTGTTGTGTAGAGAAATATTTGCAAAAGCAATGACGTGTTGTTACCGGGTTTTCGGCGAGCTGAACACTGGCCAGGTAACGTATCTCATTATAGCAGCATGCTTTAGCGTTATTTATGTCACAAATAACGACTTCAATCAAATGCTAATTCTTTCCCGTACTTTGTAAGCGAGATATTTCTTTCACGAGGCCATAGGCCTAAAAATGTTCAGCGCTGAGAAAGAATGAAAATTAATAATGTAGTTGATAAATTCGCATTGACTGGATCAGTTAGGCCTAAAATGTCCAAGACGTATAGGTCCTGGTAGTCACAAATTTATTGTATTAGTATGTTCTTCTAAATCTGGCGCTAGTCCGTAAGGCATCACGTACCTGCCAACTCCTGCAAAACAATCGTTGCTTTTGTGAATGGTGATTTCAATATGTTTTCTCTTATGCTGTCGTGTGGTATCAGATTTTATTGAGACGAATGAAATAATAAACGTATAAAATACTCGGATACCTCTGAATTTATTTACCTCATCCTTCATGTCGAATGTTTCACAAAATACCGCACCAAACCACCGATCCTCAATCCTACATACAACCTCATGTAAACAAACAGAAACTAAAAGTGAATATAGAACGCATGCACGTGTATGCATTACAGAAAATAAATGGATTACATGTAAAATTCTATTTCTAAGATAATCTATAACTCAGTTTATACCTGTTAGAGAATAATGTAATTTTGCAATGTATCGGTAAAGTAAGACGTCTGAATTATGTAATGTTTTATGACAATAGGGCTATAATACGAAGAGTTTAGTTAAGACAACAACCTATAACATAAGAATATAAACATTTTTCAAGATATAATGATATTTGCCAAGTGATATTAGGATCCTTTTTTACCATATAGATATGTAGTAATTTCAGACTTGGAATTGCAAAAGTTGCAACGACGCAGCACAAGCAGTGTGCAGAAATAATAATCCACATTATTGGATCAATTTTCACGCGTAGCAACCCTCTCGATTCGATGTACACACTACAGAATAATTAGATAATTAACAGTAGAAATGAGTAAAATATATTAGGATCCTTTTATAGGATAAATATATGTAGTAATTGCAGGTTTGAATTACAAGTTTTCACGATGCGCAAGCAGTGTGCAGAAATAATCGACGTTCTGGGAACGATTTTCATGCGTAGCAACCCTTTCTGTTACATGTACGCACTATTCAATAATTAGATATTTGACAGTAGAAATGAAGAAAATGTATTAGGATCCTTTTATAGCGTAAATATATGTAATAACTGCACGATTGAAATAAAAGATTTTCAACGACGCTACACGAGCAGCGAGCAGAAATAATAACCCACATTACGGGAACGATTTTCATGCGTAGCAACCCCTTACTTGTACGGACCGTGGAGCAACTAGATAAATAACAGCACAAATGAGGACAATATAAAAAAAAACTCACAGCTAGTCCACGACAGAAAGGTTCCTCCGTCAAACGCAGTTTGGCCGCCGCCCATCGCAAACCTAATTACTCGGGTGGTCTCTCGGATTATTAGGTTGCGTCGAGAGGGCGAGCGCGGGCCGTCAGGCTCTCAACGGCAAAG